GATCATCCTGCCTACTAAGGTGGATGTCATGCATGTCATTTGCGCAAACTTGCGCTTGAGACGATGAATTTTATTGCAGTAAGTTTCTAGTAATTGACCTGCCCATTGACGTGTCGTGCAGGATTTATCTCACTCGTCATGCGGCATGGATTCACAGGATACTCTGCCGGGTTTCGGTGATTCTGACCGATGATTCTCACAACATTCCTAGTTAATGGTATGTCCGTTTTACATTTTCTATTGAGATTGGCGCTTGACTCTTACTTTCAGTTGTTAAATTATAAATGTACATTTAAAGTAGACTATGGCAATATATCATGGACCGTTTAAATATGCTACTCGTAAGTTCTGAAACTGATCAAGACGCGTCCCCTCCCCTCCCCCTTCTCTGCATTTTATCCATGGTCAATGACCTTTGCTGCTTAGCCTGTGGTGCAGTGTTTCAGTTCGCGCAGGCAGCTGTCAGCGCATACAAGCCAATGCGCACTTAGTTTCTCTCTTACTGACCAAATTTTCGATCGGAAGCGGAAGTCAGAGAAGAAGAGAAAGAGAAAGGACAAGAGGGCTCAGTCGTGGCGAGTCCCCCAATCACTTACCTGACGATGTTGTTATTCCAGAGCAACCGGAGGTGCAAGACATCATGTCTATCGATCAGGAATACTTTGACAATGATGTATGTATTTTATTTGCTTCATCGGTGTTCAACTGACTATAAGTAAACATTTCCTAGATTGAAATGGATCGCCCACCATCTCCCTCACCCCCACCTGTTGTCTCCCAGCGCTCTGGGCGGAGAATCTGCATGCCCGCTCGCTTTGCAGACTTCCTGCCAGGGTCCGCAACTCACCTTGCGCATATGCCGCCCTCTGACCGCCAGCAACGCGGACGTCATAATGATGTCATCGCGGATCAACCTCTCCCCAAGCCTCGTACACCTTCCCCGCCGCAGTCAGAGCACGAGGACCCCTTTCCTCTCGTCCCCTTTGAAACGGAACCTGACAAAGCAGGTCTCTACCGCCTGTATCCTACCTGCCCCACCTTACTCTCCAACAATGATACCCTCGAGGATGTTACCGATGCTCCCACACTTGCTGGAGGTAACCGTATTCCCGATTCGAGTCGCATCACTGAAGGCTTGTCGTCCAAGGAGATCGGTCAGGAGGATCTCTATGCAGCTTTCTCCAATCCCACCTCCGGCCTCCTTATGGCCTATCAGTATTCTGGAACTGGTCAGCAGTCTGTCGCCGAATTGCAGCGCCTCACCACTTTCATTGGTGATCCGCTATTTGATCATAGCGATGCTCTTTCATTTTCCCATACCTGGGAATCAAAAAACATTGATGCCTATTTGCAGAAATCGTCCAATCTGTTCCGCGAGGAATATGGCTGGCGCCAATCTGCCGTCAAGATCAGGCTACCTAAAGAGGGTAAGAAATGGAGCGCTGAGGCTGAGGCCCCAGAACTCGAAATACCCGGAGTCTATCACCGCTCGATCACTGATATAATAGAGTCCGTTTTCAAGGATGACGTCGCGACGACCTTCAACATGACTCCTTATCGCGAGTTCTGGAAATCTCCCGATGGACGTAGCATCGAGGTGTTCTCAGAAGCATACTCCAGCCCCGAAATGATCGAGACATACGCCGAGATTAACGATCTGCCTCGCGAAGCAGGAGACAACCTTGAACGTGTTGTCGCATCTCTCATGATGTGGTCAGACGCAACTCATCTTGCGAGTTTCGGCGATGCTTCACTTTGGCCTTTCTACCTTTATTTCAGCAATCAATCAAAGTATACTCGAGGGAAACCAACCGCATCTGCGTGTCACCACGTCGCTTACATTCCTTCAGTAAGTTGTCTATTTGAAATGTACTGAGTATCTACTAACTCTAAACCGATCTTCAGTTGCCCGAAGATCTCCAAGATCAGTATATGAGTGTATTTGGCGAGCCTAGTACTAGCCAAGTCTATACGCATTGCAAACGCGAGCTAATGCAGGCTATATGGGCTCTACTGCTGGATGAGGATTTCATGCACGCCTACCAGTACGGCATGGTAATAAAATGTGGTGATGGCATCACTCGCCGAGTCTTCCCTCATTTTTTTACATACTCAGCCGACTATCCCGAGAAGTAAGTACCTTAATTAATATCCTGACGCATGTATGTTAATGTTTCTCAGAGTTATTCTCACAGGCATCAAAAATCTCGGACGGTGCCTTTGTCCGCGCTGTCTCACAAGGAAGGACGAGGTTCCTTTGATGGGAACAAAGGTGGATATGAAACGTCGGCTCAGACGCATGCGAAAGGACGATTGGATACACTGCCGAGAAGTCGATGACGCCCGGGCACTCATTTTTCAGTTGGGCGTGTCTGTTGATGGGACTCGTGTCCAGAACATACTCAACTCGGAGTCATTGGTACCAACTCGAGTCAGTTTTTTATATTGTTTCACTCCCTACTAATAATTGATGGTATTTGATACATAGAACGCATTTTCTGTGAAGTTATCACCTCACGGGTTCAACCGTTTCCGTATGTTCGTGGTTGACGAACTTCACGAGTTTGAACTCGGTGTATGGAAGGCAAAATTTACTCATTTGATGCGCATTTTGCATGCGGCTGGTGGAGATTCCATCCAGACACTGAATAGAAGGTATGTATTTTCAAATTTCTATTACATCTACTAACGGATCTTAATAGATATCGAGCTACGCCAACTTTTGGTAGAGGAACCATCAGGAAGTTCAATTCCAATGCGTCGGCTATGAAACGTTTAGCTGCGAGGGATTTTGAGGATCTGCTGCAGGTAAGTGTCGGTTCCAACTTTCTTGATTTGGTTTTCAATGATCTGTATATATTTATAGTGCGCGCTTCCAGTCTTCGAGGGCTTACTGCCAGGCGACGATAATACCATGGTTTTGGACCTTCTATTCGACCTGGCAACTTGGCATGGCTTTGCAAAGTTGCGAATGCATACCGAGGACACCCTTAGGTTTTTCGATGCTGCCACAGTCACTCTGGGGCAGACGGTGCGCAAATTTTCTCGTACTACATGTAAGGTTTACGATACATCAGAACTACCCCACGAGTATGCAACACGCGGCCGACGGGAAGCTGCATTAGCTTCCAAGCTTGGAGAAGCAGACCCAAAGGGCAGGGTAGTTTCTTCCGGCCCAAAGCGGAAGAAACTTAATCTAATGACCTACAAGTATCACGCTCTGGGAGATTACCCTGATACAATCCGACAGTTTGGTACTACTGATAGCTTCAGCACACAGCCAGTAAGTTTTGATTTGATCGCGCGTGTATATACCACATACTAATTAGTACTGTTTCAATTACTAGGGCGAACTTCAGCATAGGCGTGTAAAACGCTGGTATCCAAAAACCCCCAAAGGCAAGAAGAACACGGTCTCGAGTATGACGCGGATTGAGACGAGGGAACGACTACTAGGAAAGATTGTCAAAGCACGAGCTGCGTTGGCATCAAGAGAAGGTGATGCCGGATCACAGCGCCGCCAACGTGATCGGACGTCACCAGCCGATCACTACCACATTTCCAAATACGCCAGAGCCTCGTTTGATCTCACAGAATGGCTCAGTGAACTACCGGAGGATGATCAAACAGTAGTGGTGTGTCTTTGTTTTTAAAACCTCTGGATTATTTCATTTGACATGAGGAACAGGATTTTATTCCGAGACTCAAGGATCATCTGCTCGCACGTCTTCGGGGCATCGAGTACACCGGAGATGAGCTGGATTTTACTGATGAAGATCGCGCACAGATTATAATTGCTAACAATAAAATCTACGAGCACAGTGTCCTCCGGATCAACTACACTACATATGACTTACGGCGAGAGCAAGATTCGCTGAACCCACGTACCCGTGCCGACGTCATGGTCTTGTCGCACGAGAACGACGATGCGCGGCACCCTTATTGGTATGCACGGATCATCCGGATCTTCCACGTCGATATTTGGGACTGCGATGACGTATCCATGGAGAAACCACGCCAAATGCAATTTTTGTTGGTGCGATGGTTTGGACACGACGCACATTACCAATCCGGTTGGTCTGCAAAACGTTTGCATCGCATTGGTTTTCTCAGAGGCGAGGACAGCACCTTCGGTTTTCTGGATCCTGATGTCATCATTCGAGGCGTTCATCTTATTCCAGCATTTGAATCTGGCAAAACTAATGAGCTTCCTAATCCATTTGTTCGACACGGGGCAGATTTGAATGAAGATTGGCTCTATTTTTACGTAAACATGTGAGTTTAGTGTACCTATCTACTTCTAATCAATTCATTGACCCTATTCATAGGTTCGTAGATCGAGATATGTTTATGCGATACCGAGGGGGAGGTATCGGCCACACTATAACCCGCGAATGGGACGAGTTCCTGCAAAGTGATGGGGCGCAGGTGATAAATGAAGAGCAGGAGGATGAAGCTGGGGAAGACGAGGGGGAGTACGAGGGGGAGGGGGATGAGGGTGAGATTGGGGAGGAAGAGGAAGATGAGGGTGAGATTGGCGAGGACAAAGATGACGAAGAAGATGATGATCCCGATAGGATAGAAGCGGACGAGGGAGAAGAGTTAGATGATGATTTTCTGATAGCGGAAGGCTACGGCGCTCTGTAATGTGATATTCTAGGTTTTCATGTTTAATTTGTGGTGTGACCCGTTATTAATTCACCATGTTCAATCTTGGAGCTCATTATTGGGAGGCCGCAGAGTGCATTTGTTTCTATTGCGCATATATGCATTTATAACTGTAGCGAGGTACATATAATAGTACTACCACCTTATAACTACGATATAATGTTGCTACCACTGTGTTTGAGCTGCGCCAAAGGTTATGTAAGGGTGGCGACGTGTTTATAATGTGTAATGTTTGTATGACGCACGCATACATGCGTCATAATACTCGAACGTTTTCACAATTCCTAATCAGGTAATGTTACGTGTTGTGACATTTGAAGAGTTTTGCTGATGCTAGCAATAAGCGTGATTATGAGGAACAAATGACTTTGTGGCTTCAATGCCAGGAAGCGGTGTTTTTACGCGGTTCCTATCTCGAATGGCTGTCGGATCAGTCGGTGAGCATGGCCAATCGCACAGACCACAAGTGCAGCGATGATTCAGGCTCGGATTCAGAGATAGAAGACTTGCAATCTGGGTCATGCACTCACAGCGCTACTCCCGCCAAAGCAAGTCTAATGCCTCCCATCGCTGGACAACACATTGTCCACATTCTTGCCAAAACTCCTGCACACCCTCGGCAGTCCGTTCACCAGCTTGCCACTGCGCATGGCGCAGTCACATTTCTTCCTGCCCTCAAAATTTTCCTAGACAAGCATATGCTGCACAATACCATCATTCCCGGTCCACAAGACCGTTTCGACGTTTATCGACAAGTTATAATTGCTGCCCCGCCAGATCTGCGTGTAAGTGATTCACCACAACGGTGGCGCATTAGAGCGACACCCGAAGTATCTCCTGGTCCTCGCCGGAAGCCTGGGTCCCCTGCCAAGTTTGATATGGTCTTGGTGAGCGATAGTGTTCAGACCTCGAATCTGCAGGTGTTAGATGGTAAGTGATCATTATTTCAGTGCATCGGAATATTTACATTAATGCTGTAGGTGTACGAGTTGCACAAGTCCGTGTGATATTCACTCTGCCTCGTCAGTTTGGGGCATACTCCCGAGCTTTGGCTTATGTCGAGTGGTTCACTCCGCTTAGGATACCAGATGCCTCCTCTGGCCTGCACCAGGTGTCACGTTCAACTCGTCGACTGCACCGGAATGCAGCGGTGATACATGTCGACGAAATCGCTCGTCCATGTCATCTCATTCCGAAGATGGGACAATTTGTTGACCGCGGATGGACCAGTACAAATGTCTACGAGTTGGTAAATGATTTCTACTTAAATACCTTTATCGACCTTGATACGTTCTGCATGTCCGCTATCAATTAATTTTGTTACTACTCAGCTACTATCGACTATGAACTGAAATTTTGCTATTGCGACTAGGCAATGTCATGGGTACCAGCGACCCACGTGGGTCGTGGGTGTGGGTATCTCGTGGGTGTGGGTGGGGGTATGCACTTCAGGTACCCACACCCATACCCGTACCCCTATGGTGGGTATGTAAGCAAAATTTTATGTAACTCTGATACTGTACCAAGTGCGAACCTTAACCTAAAGCACGATACCAATCAACAGAAGGATAGCCAGCAACACTAACAAGCTACCATGCATTCAACAATTCTCAAAAACACTACTAAACGTATCACCAAACTTACAGATAAAGCAAAGGCAGCAGTAGACGAGAGGCTCGAAATCACATCCAAAAAAAGAAAGAATACTGATGGTAGCAACGGAAGAACACACGCACAGCCAAAGAAAGCCAAGTCAACCCGGGAACATGGCACTAACAGTGTCGAGGAAGCACCTCATAACGTCCCAGCATCAACCGAGCCTCACGGCAGAACCATTGAACAAGCCCCACCTAAAGCCCATCCAGCACCGAGCCGACGAGCAGCGGTCCACTCTGAAGATGAAGACGAAGTGTTGAATGACGAGGTACCACATCCCTATGAACACTGACTATTTTTTAGTCCTGCACCCTCGTCATAAACTGACTTATTTCAAGTCCGCCGGTTGGGAGGAAGATTGGATCAACACCGCAGAAACCCTGGTCCGTGACGAGTTTGAGCGGTCCTACCAGGACATGGAGATTGAAGACGACGATGCTCTTGAGATGGCGATTGACGTGCCTGCTCGATCGGCAGTGGATTCTTCGAGCGAGGTTTGTTTTAGTTTTTTTTAGTTGTCTTTGTTCCATTCACTCACTACTCACTGTGTTCTAGAATATTTTTGACAACATGCCAGCGCTCGCGCCACCCCAATCCATCGACTTAGTGAACGAGCTCGACCGTTACCTGAGTGCTGATGTTGAGCACGTTACCGACGCTATCGTGTGGTGGCATGAGCGCCGCTCATCTTATCCGTGTCTCTCGCGGATGGCACTTGACTATCTGACAATACCTGGTACGTCTAATTTGTCACTATCAAAGATTATTCTGACACTGTTGGTAGCTACATCGGTCGACGTTGAACGTCTTTTCAGCCGCGGTAGGCTCCTGTTAACTCACGTTCGGTCACGTCTGTCCGCGCAGTCAACACGCGCCTTACTCTGCCTCGGCGCTTGGAGCCGTTTGAACCTTGTCAAGGACGAAGACATTACGAAAGTCGCTACCTTGCCCGACGTTGATGGTGATGCTGACGAGGTTCTCGAGGACGGATGGGATAGAATAAGGTTGAATTAACACTCGCTGCTTGTAGTTACATTTTGTTTTTTTCAACTATCTTAGTGCGCACCTGCGGGTATACCCGCGGGTACATGTACCCGCGGGTGCGCTACCTACCAACCCACCATAAAACCCACACCCACCACGCGGGTGTGGGTATACCTGCGGGTACGGGTGCGGGTGATACTGGCGACACCCACGGGTATACCCGTGTCATTGCCTAATTGCGACTCCAGTTTACTACCAGCGCACGCCGTAGCCTCCTGTAGCCCACTGTAGCTCTATATAGTCTGAGTTATAGCTACGTGAGGTACATAGACCTATGGTGACTATATAGTACTATATAGGCGTCACCAGGACTCCTACGATTTTTGTTTTTTCCTGATGTGCTCTTGGACGACGCAGTAGAGGAATTCGCAGGTATGGTATGACAGCCGAAGACCGTGTTAAGTACTTACTATATACTGAACGTAGGACTTAATCGCTTGCAACAGAAGTGGTGCGATATTTGTTCGGTAACCTGTGAATTTAACAACTTGAAGCCTTAAGGATTATGTATAGTGAATGAGTTTCATTTTCCAATATCAGTACTCAGGCCTCAGGGCTCAGGGAGCGCTCAGTGCTCAGCCTGATCAGTAAAATACCACATTTCTTATTTTACTTGGAAGCTGTTGCATAGAGGCTTGGCTTCTGCATCAGACCCTTGTCTTTCGCGACGCGATCTCGTCACGTGAGAAAAATCAATTTGATAACAAAGTACTTAATACTTACCCGTAAACTAGGAAGGACCTTTGAACTTTCAGTCCTGCCACAACTTACAAGTATGAACATGAATACCGAAAATACTGTTTCCTCCTTGCCTGCATCCACTCGCTGTATAATGATTCCTGAGCTGCTATGCAAAATATTCGAACAAGTCCATGTATTTGATCCTTTTGTAGTGAGTACTGCTAGGCGGTTCTCAGAATTCGAATGGGTGATGGATTCCTTGAGGTAGAGAGGTACTGCAAAGACACTCGTGGCGCTCGCCTTGACGTGCAAGTTATTCAGCGAACCTGCGCTGGACCTTGTGTGGCGAGACCTGCATGGGTTTGAACCGCTTATCAGATGTCTTCCCAAAAACCTATGGAAACAGGAGGAGAGAAAGCTAGTCAGTCAAGCTCTGCCTTATGCTCAAAAGTACACCATTTCACACCATTTCACAGGAATTTCAAAGAACCATGACCCTCGATGACTGGTCCATTTTTCGCAAATATAACTATCGCATCCGTTCACTGGTCAATCGATATCATCCGTTGTACATGAATCACACAATCCTCCGTGACACTGAAATTTGGCGTGCCCTCAGCTCTCCTCCCTTCTCCCTTCCACTGCTCCCCAACTTGACGACCCTTACCTGGACTGAGGCTACCAATGAGACATTCCAATACATTCTGTTGTTTGTGACCCCACGGTTGACAGAGCTCGATATTTCCGTGGCCCGTTCTGGTCCACCCTTCACCCTTGGCCCATCTGAACAGTCCACCTTTTCGTCTATCGCAAAGTCGTGCCCTTCTATCTCGCGTTTCAGTTTTTCTTCCCAGAGATATGACTCCCAACAAATAGTTGGAGACACATCGATCGCGTTGCAATTCTGGCCTCATCTAACATCGGTGAAGATCGGAACGGTTTCCGAGGCAGCTATACTACAGCTATCCAACTTGCCTTCACTCCGAGTCTTGGAATGTGGATTGCCCTCAACTTCCATATCTACAGATGCACAGAAGCTCCTACAACGGCCTGCTTTCTGCGCGTTACAAGAGCTGACCGTAACATGCAAAAGTCCAGTCATCTTAGAGGCTTTTTTGGAGAAGCTTACTATCACTCCAAAAATATTATCCTTTAGATTCGCTCGTGGAGTGGATCCCGCGCGAGTCCTACCAGCTCTGATTTCTCGTCTATCCAGTGCCTGTGCACGCAGTCCACTACAAAAGGTGCAGCTCCGCATTCTGGACGATGATCAGCCTGTTGATCTCAACGTTCCAATCGGAGCTGCCGCCTTTCAACCACTCTTTGCTTTTCGTAATCTTCGCGTGCTCGACTTCGTAGCGGACGGCCACTGTACCGTGCGAATGGATGATGCTTCCCTTTTACAGATGGCTAAGGCCTGGCCACACCTGGAAGAGCTGTACATCTCCAGATACTCCCATTCAAATTATCGAGTTACTCCACACGCCTTCGTCCTGCTGTTGTGGCATTGCCCACGTTTGCGCTCGGTTGCTGTTCTCATAGACTGGTCCACGATAGATGTGCATGCCATACCCCCTGACCTTCCATACCAAGGATTTTCTCAGAAGGCGCTAACCAACTTATTTATTAATGGTTGGAGAATTGAGAATCCGACATCAATCGCCGCTTTCCTTTCAGTCATCGCACCCAACGTGCGATCCATCAGCGGATGGGACTCTGATATTCATGGGTATGACTCGGACGCAATAGACAATTCGTGGACAGTGGTTCAGAGTTTGATCGCTACTCTACCCATGGTCCGTGAGCAAGGGAGGAGAATGGTGCTGAATAGGCTGATGCGGGGTTCACACAACCACCACACCACTATGCAGCGGGGGGGCCGACACTGAAGAAACCGGTGTTGGTGGTGATGTTGATGTTTCAAGGAAGATGCAGGAAGTGAGGGCGACTCGGAATACTATGGGTCTTTCTTGATCAAGTCACTCCTCATCTGAGTCTCCTGACGAATCTCTTTCCCATCTATGTCTCGCAATTTTACAGCAGGACTACGTACGTCATGGCCCTGAAGACCTGATATGATATCAATGTTGTAGTATATGGATACAAAACGATCAACCTTTCAGATACAGACTCACCTTTCGCTTCCAGCATCACCATGCTCCTCGCTCCACGAGTTTTTTCGCTAGTGTAGGTCGACATTGCTCGAAGCGTACGTGTATGTGGTCCGATTGATAAAACATCGGTGTGCTGATTCGCCGGAGTTATACTCCTAGTAGGTCCACGCAAGGTACACGACACTTTAAATTTACAGCCGTTTGAGAAACTAATGTCATTGGCGATTTTTTTCACGTGCGTGACCAAAAAGGAAATCACTGGAAATCGCGGATGCGACGCGTCTTGGATGTCCAATGGTCCATGTCAGGACACGACTTCCTGCAGTTCTACTTAATATCTAAGTCTTTTCAACCATAGTATTGTGTTTATTTCACACCATCGTACAAGTCTTCATCCATGGCAAATAAGAAACAAAGAAGCTTGCCATCAAGCAGATTCAAGCTCCCGGCAGGAAAGATACCAGACCATCTGGATGAGGTCCTCGAACGCCCGGATTCACTCTCATCCACCATCAACAATGACAAGGTGATATACCTTTCTGAGGCCGAATGGCTGTTCAGTGACGAAGAGAACCAGTCACAAGCTGAAGCAGTGAGGTAGAAGTCGAAGAACTTCATGAAGGCGAAGATCATCAATCGGAGGATAGGTTCGACGTGAATGCGGCAATATCCTCTAAATCCCACCCATAGTCCCAGAGTCGAAAAGCGCATTATTTGATATCTTTGCTGATTCTGCAGTTAACCATCGCATATAGGGACAAAGAAAGTTGTTTTCGGTGTTGCCAAAGGCTCGCAGTGGGGCTTAAAAATGATTTCCTTTTTTGTCTCACACACGTGAAAAAAAGCGCCAATGACATTAGTTTCTCCAACCTTAGGACGTAGCCACATGCTGGTGAAGTACTTACGTACTACTATCATAGGCTCTTTTTAAATTGCGGCAGGTAACAGCCGTGCCTCAGGCCTCGAGGCCACTATTAATATTGTGCGACCGAGCAAGTTGTCCGGGTGCGAATTGCATACTTCAAGTTCCAAAGTCTTGAACCTCCAAAGTACCTGGCACAAGTATGGAGGCCGAAAGCGCCGAGCATCAACGTACTCACAACAGGAGCAGTTCTGCCTCTTTCTCGCCAGCATCTACTCGCTGTATCATGATTGCTGAACTTCGGTGGAACATCTTCGATCTGGTTGGCCCTCCTGATACACCTGTTACTCGTACTGTTGGGGACCTTTCGGGAACTGGATGGGTGTTTTTCGACTTTCCCCGTACGAGAAAGACACTCCTGGCACTTGCCTTGACGTGCAAGTTATTCTCTGAACCTGCGTTGAACCTTTTGTGGCGGCACCTAGGTGGGATCGAACCTCTAATTAGGTGTCTCCCACAAAGCCTATGGAAACAGAACCGGGGAAGACTAGTCAGTATTCAAGCTTTGGCTCACAGGCACAGTACACTAATTTACTCTGTTTAACAGGAATTTCAAAGAGCCATGACCCTTGATGACTGGTCCATTTTTTGCAAATACAACCACCGTGTCCGTTCATTGCTTAATCAATGTCATCGGCAGTACTCGAGGGACATGAACTATAATGCCGAGATTTGGCGTGCCCTCAGCTGTCCTCCCTTCTCCCTTCCCTTGCTCCCCAACTTGACGTCCCTTACCTGGATTGAGGCCTCCGACGAGACACTTCAATATATTCAGTTGTTTGTGACCCCAAAATTGACGATGCTCAACATTTCCGCTGCCTATCTTGTACCCTTCACATTTGGTCCATCCGAACAGTCCATCTTCTTATCTATCGCAAAATCGTGCCCTTCTATCTCGCATTTCGATTTCGGTCGAAATGCGGATGATTACACAGAATCAGTCGGAGACACGTTGCAATTATGGTCTCAACTAACATCAGTGAGGACTGGAACATTGTCCGAGGCAGCGATATTACACCTGTCTAATCTACCCTCGCTCCGAATTTTGAAATTCACATTACCTTCGATTCTCATATCTGCCGATACACAAAAGCTGCTGCAGCGTCCTGTGTTCTGCGCATTACAAGAACTGAACATATCATCTAGAAATATGGTCTTCTTGGACGCTTTTTTGAAGGAACTCACTATCACTCCGAAAGTAGTTGCCTTTACGATCAAGGATGGAGTGGGTTCCGTACGGGCCCTGCCGGATATGATTTCTCGTCTATCCAACGCATGTGCATACAACTCAATGCAACAGGTGCAGCTCAACATCACTGGTCAGCCCGCTGATCACGAGGCTTCAATCGAAGCTGCGTCCTTTCAACCACTCTTTGCCTTTCGCAATCTTCGCAAGTTCAGCCTCGCAGTGGATGTCCATTGTGTTGTGCGAATGGATGATGCTGCCCTTTTGAAAATGGCTAAGGCCTGGCCCCTCCTGGAAAATTTATCCATCACAGGATACTCCCATTCAAGTCATCGAGTCACTCCGCACACCTTCGTCTTGCTATTGCGGCATTGCCCTCGTTTAGTCTCTGTTGCCATTCCCGTAAACTGGTCCATGATAGACATGCATGCCATACCCCGTGACGTTCCTTACCAAGGATTTTCTCACAACGCACTATCCCATTTAGCCTTTGAAGGTTCGAAGATTGAGAATCCGATATCAATTGCTGCTTTCATATCAGCTATCGCACCCAACGTAAAATCAATTCAGGGAGACTCGGATGACGAAGATTCCTTTGAGGATGATGTCTTTTCAGAACACTACCCGGCCTGGAGGATGGTTCAGGATCTGATCCCGGCTTTACCAATTATCCGTGAGCAGGGGATGAGAATCATGCTGAATAGGTCACTGCAAGGTTCATACAGCCACCACGGGGTCGCGCAGCGCGGGGGCCGACAATGAAGAAGCCAGTGTTGTAGTGATGGTGGTGTTTCAGGAAGTTGGCGGAAGCGAGGGCGACTCGGAATACTATGTACATGGATCTTTCTTACTCAACTTTTTCTCTTCATCGGGTTACTCCTCCCAATCGGAGTCGCTCGATGAATCTCTTCCCCATCTATGTCCTGCAATTTTATAGAAGAGCTATATACGTCATGGTCCTGAGGGCCTGATATGCTATAGTATACGGATATAGGACGATTAACCTTTCACTCACCTATTGCTTCCCGCATCACCATGCTCCTCGCCAGCTTTGCATCATCTCCATGAGTTGTTCGCTATCGTAGACCATCATTATTTGAAGCGTGCATTGGATATATGCGGTCCGATTGATGAAGTCTCCGTTGAATTTACTGTCCCGCGTGCTTGATATGAGCATCATCTCCGAGTACGGCCAGTCGCAAACTCTTGAACTCGAATGTTAGAGCTGCGGACGGCAAGCACGCGGGGCTGTTGAGAGCAGGTTCGATTAGAGGGTTAATTTCTCTATTGCAGCGCTTCCTTGTAGATCCTTGACACTAGGATTATGGCTATCAGCTTTGAGTCATTGCTCGCGGTGTGGTGGCTGGTTGAAGAATCAGTCCATCACCTCCAAGTACCAGGAGGTTCTTGAGCAATTCCACTAACCTATTCATGAGTGGTCAGGTCGATGTCAGTTGTTACGTTGTACCAGCATCGACAAGAAAGACCGAGTGCATTGAGCATACCGAAAGTGGGCGACCGTCCTGCAGACAATAGCACATAACGAAACTGGGTAGCGAGCAACATCTGGTCCCGAGCCATCCGCGCACATGCGAACGTCCCCCTAGTATTTTGTGCCGGGATGGGTGTATTTGAGATCTATACGCCTGTTCACATCTAGCACATCGAGCCTTCACACCACACAGGCGCGGCTCCGAGGTTCGCTCAGTGACGAGAAATCCGTATCGTATTTTACACATGTAAATGTGGTTGATGCGGAATACAATGTGACGAAAGAAGAATTCGAATTAGACTAATGATCCCTTGGATCTTGAGTCTACAGGCCCAAGGCAACGTGCGCATTTTAGGCGGGCACGTGCGGCCTGTTGAAACAGGATGGGGGCGTGAACGTGCCGATGATAAGGAGGTCTCTGCATTGCAGGTCCTTTTGTACTAAGGAGATACACAAATGTGCTCTCCTAGTCATAATCGCCTGTTCATCATGTGAGAAGGCTGAAATTTAGAAAATAGTGTCAGGAAAATCTTACCACCACCGCCATCATCACCACCACCACCGTCTCCAAGACCGTCCATATCATCTCCTTCACCGTTATCGAAATAATTCTCCGCATAATCATTGTCATATTCCTCGTCGACGTCGTAGTCGGAATCAACTGGCTGTGATCCAGCATCTGAGCGTTCGTCGCCTGACTTCTCCTGAAGAGCTTGTTAATATTCCGAAAATAAAAGTATGTCTGAAGTCATGACATACTTGGTCCTCACCGTCCTCCGCTAAGTCATCAAGATTGAGGCGTTTGGTGGTGCCTTTCTTGTCAACTGTTGATCCATTCAGTAACGGTGTGAAGTGAAAATAGATCTACTGACCTTTACGTTTTCTTTTTGGATTGAAATAGCCCTCGAATATTTCCGAGGGAAAAAAGGGTGCATGAAGGTCCTTCCGCTTCAGTGTAGGCTGAGAAGCAGGACTCTGGCGATATTTATCAGAATAACGCTCCAAGTCTGTAAAGCAAAGGTATTAGGTTCCTGTTTATCAATCACTTACGATCATTCAAACCATTTGACTTTGATGTTTCGACTACGTAGTAGGCTGATTGCCGTAAACGGGTAACAAATCCGGTTTGCAGATCACAGATTCGTTTCTCGTCAGCAGAGTAATCGGTGAGAACGGGCAGAGGATCCAATGGCTGTTCGAATAAAAATGAGATTACACACTATGATGTTACAAGATTGATGCACCGCACTGGGTACAACGCGTCTCCTTCTCTGGACATCGCTTGTATGTCTGCAAATGTGAGACCCATAGGAGGCATGCTTCCTGCGCCGAAGCCACCACCGCTTTTAAAGCCGCCCCTTCCACCACCTCGTCCACCACCGCGTCCTCTAGACATAATTTTAAAATCTTATTAGAGACGATGATCAAAGATGCAAGTACAGCACAGCATGCATCATGCTGAGTTGAGAAAGTTTAAACTCCGAAGCGTTATATAACAAGGACTTGCTGTGTTAGGGTCACCTCGCGTCGCCCCTTTGCCACCACCACCACCCACCCATCTTCTTTGTTGTCAAGACTCTCAAAACAGCAGTAATCTCACCCGCAAATAATTCACGCGTTCTTTAAAAACTTGAAATAATGGACAAATCGCTTGACGAGGTTGGTGTTGAGTTGTGAAAATTTTCCGCCACGCGTATATAAACCATGATATTTAGGTCATTTCTTCTCGCCCAAGGGGTGCCCGTCGTGGTACTGGTCGTCGCGGAGGTGCAGGAGCTAAGGCCCAACTTCTTGGAACTACTGGTGCCAACCCTGCTGCTCGCGCTGCCACTGCCGGCGCTATTAAAGCCACAGCCACCACCTCTGCGCAACCCGCAGATAAAATCATTGTTTCCAATCTTCCAACAGATGTGAATGAAGTTCAAATCAGGGTGTGTTGTTTAACTTTTAGCGGCCTTGATGACGTGGCCAATCTGAGCATGAATATAGGAGCTATTCTCCACTACCGTTGGAGCCTTGCGCGACGTCACCTTGCACTATGATAGCGCTGGACGGTCGAAAGGTGTCGCAGCTGTTCACTTCCAACGGAAGGGCGATGGTACTTTGGCCTACCAGCAATATAACAACCGATTGATCGATGGGAGTTAGTATCGCCTACTTTATTATCTCCTTCCTTTGTCTCCCGCAAGAGCCCTTCATCCGTTACGGAGATCCGTTGTCGCTGGTTCTCTATTTGGCCCTGCCAAAAGACGTGCATGCGTGGCGGAAACGCCTATATGCGGGTTCTCAAGACTCTTTTGGTGGCAGAGTCTTGTCCCCACAGCCTCGACACCCTTGAGGTGGGTACCAGGTTGCAGGTTGGTCAGAAGGCTTGCTGTCCTTTGAGCTTGCAATTCTGGTGCCGTCGCAGTGCACGTCATTCCTCATGGCTCAGTCTCGGGATTGAGTTCCAGGCCGGTGCAAGTATTATGGAGTGACAGGCGGGGAGGTACTCCAAATCTTCATCCCTTGACCAATCAGGGCGGCCATTCGTGCGCAAGCAAGCCTCAGCTATTGTGGCATATTGGAGGAGGACAGAGTCGACAATGTTCTTGGTAACGGTTTGGACAGTGGCATGCTCCTCGTATCCGTCCCTTTTGCCTGCTTCCTCGCTGAAAGCACAGCCGACTAACGAATGTCTATCTCTTTTTCGCATCGTCTCGCACGTCAACTACAGAACGCCCGATGAAGATTGAGATCGTAGTCGACCCCGCACGTCCTGCCCCGCCCGCTTCGCTTGTATCGCGTGTTGCTCCTGCCGCTTCCGCTCCTGCAACTTCAGACGCTCGAAGTGCAAGGTGGGTACAGCAAAGTTGCTGATTTCGTTGTCTTACCTATTCGCAGACCTGCCACACGTGGCTCTCGCCGTGGAAGAGGCCGTGGAAGGAAGGGGAATGAAAGACCTCAGAAGAGTGTGGCTGACCTTGATGCAGAGATGGAGGTTTGTTTTTGAACCTCGTCTCTGGAACATCATGTTCATATAGATTTCTCAGGATTACACTGCGAGCAATGTCGTTGCTCCCACTGCTGCTTAAATTAGCCCGTACCATGTGTATCTGCTAATGCTGATCGTTCTGTTGTTCTACTTTGATAACGATCCGATTTATTCTTAGTAGTTTCCGTCCTGTATTTTACACGCTTGCTTTTCTGGGACTCGAGTTTCTTTTGTGATGAGTGACCTGAGTAAAGCGAGTACTTTTGAGTCAATACAGCGGCGAATAAGTGCAGTTGCTATTTCTGGTCATTTCAATCTCCTTTGTCTTGAAGCTTGCAACCCCTCCATAACCTACATTCTGGCTATGGATCTCCCTGCAGAAGAGGAGCAGCCGTTGTATTCTCAGCGACCTGAGTGGGCCGATGTCGTTCCCTTAGAACAGTACGAAAGTGTCGCCCCTCTTGCGCCCATCTTTTATACGGATGAATGTTCGTGAGCAAACCGGTTTGTCTGCAAACCCTCACTCAATGCAACGATCGGATGGCATCTATTAGACAGAGATGCCACGAACTACTTCAGAGGGATCGTCAAGAGCGGTGAGATGAGCCCAAGGGTGTTGGAGCTCACGGAGAACATAATTCGGCAGAATCCTGGACACTACTCTGCATGGTGAGTGTAGGACTTGCTTTATCACGCACTTGCAGTCGAACACAGGTGACGTTTCCATGTGCGATTAGGCAGTACAGGTACAAAACACTTATGGCATTGAAGTCTCCCCTCGACGATGAGCTTCAGCTGATGGATGAACTTGCGATCAAGCATCTCAAGACATACCAAGTCTGGCATCATCGCAGGCTGCTCGTGCAGCAGACCCGCAATCCCGGCCCTGAGCTCGAGTTCATCGCTAACTCGTTGCAAGTTGATACGAAGAACTACCACACGTGGTCGTACAGACAGTGGATCCTCGCGTACTTCAATGACGACGCGTTATGGAGCCATGAGCTGGATTTCGTGGAGAGCATGCTTGAAAGTGACGTGAGGAATAACTCTGCATGGCATCACAGATTCTTCGTCGTCTTTCAATCTGGGGTACGAAATGGGGATGAAGACAGAGATGCGGTTGTCCGGCGGGAGCTTGCGTAAGTCCTAATTTGAGTGATGTGGATTCCTGGAGCATTAACAAGATGTACAACAGATTCGTGAAGGAGCGAATTGCAATTGCACCGAATAATGCATCTGCGTGGAATTACCTGCGCGGGATGCTTGATCATGCTAAAATTCCTTATTGCGAACTTCAAGCATTCGTGCTGCCTTATTCTCTGCCCCAACCTCCTTTAGGTACACCCCCTGAGGTTGTTGATCTTGAGAGTCCTCTTCCTTCGAAGAATTCACAACTGCCCTGCGTCGCTGCTGTTGAATTCATGGCTGATATTCACGAGGCAGCAGGGGGTGATGACTTGGTGACAGCCACTGAGGTGGGATACGTACTTCACGAACTTGGCAAATACCTGACCTATCGTAGCTTTGGAAATCTCTGGCAAATGAGCACGATACTATACGCAAAAGGTAGGTCACTAATTAAGCACTCTATGGTACATACCTCACTGATTACTTTGTAGATACTGGGAATACAGGATCACGGAATCCTTGAAGACCAAATCAGCTGGTGACGGCTGACGGATGCCCACCTTAGCACATCATCAGAATTCTTTTCTTTTACGTCGATCAGGTAAACAGGGCATCATCAAATACTATGTGTGGTTTTCGTTGGTTTTGCATCTCCTCCACTAATCAAACAAACTGGACCCTGCTGTTTAAAGTATTTCAAGGAGCCTGTCCAAATAATGATATCAATAAATGCGCCTGGAATCAAAGCTGTTCACTGAGCGCTAGTTTATACGTTCTAATTCAGGAGGTTGGTACTTTTCCTCTACCATGTTCGAGAACCTCTGCTTCTGCCACCGCAATTAATTCGTCACTGTGTGCCTTCTTTGCACTTCCCAGTCATCCTTTCGTATCACCGCAGGCTGTGTCGGCAGGGGACGGAGCTCATCGCGGTCCACAATTGTGGACCTGCTCCTGCCCTGATAGACACCAAGACCGCTGGATAAAGGTGAGGATATCGTCATATCGAGCAAGAAACTTGAAGTCTGGAATTTACACGGTGTAACGACTTACATTGACACTATGACAGGCTTTTGATGTTTATAGTTCCGCGGCTGCAGTATTTCTCACTCATGCATCAAATCACTATCCTGACGAGTGGAAATGTTTATATTAGAAACGAAGAAAGAACATCTACGGCATATCGTTAGGTACGTGTTAAACAGAGGTTGTAGAACGTATGCTCGGTGAAACGACATCGTACGGAAAGGATTGTTAGACATGTGCAGCGATGAGACGGAGAATGAAAGAGGGATGCAGACTCGGGCGAAAGGTGTTGCAGTACGTACGATGCATATCAAGGATGCAGCGAAATGTGCAATCATTTTCAAGCTGATTAACTTAGCAATCGACTAAGTATTGTGCCATGAACGACAGCATCAATGCCAAGACAGAAACATGACTTACTGTAAGCACGTCTCAGCTCCTCGAGATCCAGTATATTGTCGATAGCAACACAATATTTTTCAGTGCAATCCTGTTACAGTAAAGTGCGTGTCATAGGTTGAGTCCTGCATGCATGCAAAGCAAACTCACACTTTTCCATGTGCATGCATCAGAGCAGCACTGGGAGTCGTCATCGCAAGACTTGCCAACGGCAAGACAAGTATCGTTGGAAGTAGCTAGGGTTGTACTGATGTACATAGATGCTGTCAAAGCAGCCACGACGGCGAGCGATGCTAGATGCATGAGTTCAAGTTATAGGAGGTGATATGAGATGGGTCCGAGGGGCTTTCGAGTAACGCCGATGGGGAAGAACTTCAGCCTGACGACATGCTTGTATGTCCTGAAAACCTTTATAAACATTCGGGAAATATATAAAAGATACGAATGTGGTAGCCTAGGAATTGACGACCATTCGGATAATGTGATGATGTGGCTTTAGACGAGCAGTTCGGGTCCGCCTAAGACTTTCTTAGAAGAAATGACTATCTTCCTTCGTCTGCACAGGTTTGTCTAGGGGGCGACCTACCGCGACATTGATAATTAAACTCTTCGAGTTGCCAGTTTAGACAGGGATCAGTAAAAATGACCCATATTTCCGTCCAATTTTATGCACAAGCTGGACTTGTTGGCCAGGCGTTTTAGGTTTGCGAATTGAGAATATTCTTTGACCTACCAAATGTTCGGGGAAGGTCGTCTCAAACCACCACATTGGTCCACAAATGCCTCATCATGGTTGAACAAGAACATTCGTATTTCTTAGAAGTAACTTCGAAGTTCATTGTGCCGTACAACGTGACAATTATGCTCAGTCTTAGTTGGAAAAACCGAGAGGAAAATGATATCGTACAGAAGGGAACGTGGACGAAGCGTCTCCAGAAGTGCTAAGTTGTGCGTGTAAAATGGATGTGTGTATCGATCTCGTTCTTCTGTGGAGGGGTATCTCAAGAGCCAGTAAATATGTGCCAGTACATTGACCAATCTCAGCTGCAACTAGCTGAAAATTATTATGCCACATAAGCAACATCACCAATACAGAGATATAAATATGGCTTACCCTCGAGCTGCCTCTTTTTTCCTGGGCTTTCCGGACCTTCCGGACCTTCGGTTTCTCCTTGGTCAACAGCACAATATTTGTTAGTGCAATCCTTTTATAATCCGCAAGTGAGTGAGTACTGGACATAATCCTGGACATAAAGCAAACCCACAGTTGTATACGTGCACGAGTTAGAGCAGCAGTCAGGGTCATCATCGCAAGTCTGGCTAATGGCCTTACATGTCGTGGTGAAAACAGCTGGTGTCGCACTGACAGATATAGATGCTGTCCAAGCAACTATGATGGCGATCAAGGATAAACGCATTATTTGCAGGCGATATTAGATAGGTCCCTCTTGAATAGTAAGTCTGAGATGAGGAGACAGGCAGCATGCTTTTATGTCCTGTAAACATTCTGAAAGCGAACAAAGGATGGGTAATAGGAATCGTTCGTCGGCTGTGACTGGCACGTATGGGTGGATTCTGATGCGTCGGGACTACGTTTTTATGAAAGTGTGAGCTCACTGAAGGCGGTTCGAATACTTGATACGACTTCTGAGGCGAGCAGCTCGGGTCCGCGCAATAATTCAGTACTTCTGTAGTCACGGTTGGACCTTGCACGACTCTTTAAGTTGCTACTCGGGTCGTACCGCAGTACGTATAGATCTGTGCGCGACGCGCGTGCAGTTTTTCCACACATGCTGGAGTTGGCGGCCTTGGAAGTTGGCAAACTGTGAAAATCTCAATATTAGAAGTAACGTACCCACTGAAGTCCCCGTTCGTGCTTCTTTCAACTTGGAGTTGCGGAAGAATTCATAAATACGTGATGTGACACTGCTGTCACTGGCTCATTAGTAGTTCCGAAGCTCGCCATGTATTTACTCTATGTATAGGCGAAGGAATACAGCAGGTTCGTGAAGCTAACCATCTCTTCGGGCGATTGTATGCACCTGTTCACATGGTCAACACAACCGGATAGGCTGGTGATTGATACCTTGTCAGCATGTTATCATCACCCATGCTCCGAGTGATCCTGTCGGTGACAAAAAATCACTATCTTCCAATTTCATAGCATCCCTTATCAATATTTTGATGAGCGAAAAAGGCTCGTGCTAGAGGAAGAACTACGTATCGCTAGGTACCGATACTATACAAATGTAGTAGCAACTATGTCACATCAGTCCTAGTTGGAAAGACTGAGTCCAATATCGTATGGATATGATTACTTGTTGAGCGTGTGGGCTGAGACAAAACGAAAGGGGAACGCAAACGAAATGGGTATCGAGAAGTGATCGTGTGTAAGATAGATACGTATGTGTATCGATCTCGTTCTATTGAAGGGTATCCAAGAAGCGGTAAAACCTGTCCGAGGGCCATGATCATATTGATCAACTCAGCAATCAACTATGAATTGTGCCATGAACAACAACATCGATATGGAGGCAGAAGCATGACTCACTCTCACGACGTGCCAGCTCCCCGCTAAGTATGGAGTCGTCATCAACACAAGTTTTCACGCTGCAATCCTATTACAAACCACAAAAGGTGAGTCACGAGCCTGGGTCTTAGATGCAAAGAAACCTCACGGATGTATACGCGCACGCATCGGAGCAACAGTCAGAGCCTTGCTGGCAATACTTGCCAACGGCACGACATGATCTGCTGAAAACAGATGGGGTTGCGCTGACATACATAAATGTCGTCAAAGCAACCAAGACGGTGAGGAAGGAAAAATGCATTGGTCGTGTGAGGCAAGATGGAATCTGGCTGAAGGCTCTGATATGGGGAGAAAGAATGCAAGCTTTTATGTCTTGAGAGCCTTGATAAATATTCTGGAAAGGAACAAAGGATAGGGTAATAGTCATTGTTCGTCGGCTCTGTGACTAGCGCATATGAGTTCTAATTGTCAAGGTTAGGTATTTTATGAAAGTGTGAGCTCACTGTTAATGGTTCGAAAGGTGGAGTGTATGGCTTCAAGCAAACAGTTCGAATCCAATGACAGATCAGCATCATGGCATACGCAATTAAGTTGAACGCTTTAGATTCATCAAGTTGTCGCTGTACATATGGATCGCATAAAATGAAATGATCCACGCCGTTATGCGCGACGCATGTCAAGTGTTTCCATTCGAGTGTCTCCACATACTGGTGTTTGATGTTGGCGAACTGTAAAATATTCAACGTAAGTATATACTTCGCGTTGATTATGACTGATAGGCGATGATCCGTTACGATTCAGAAGCTCATCATGACTGCATCGGCTTTCCTAGAATACAAAGTGTTTGGCAGGTTGAAATTCTTTTTCTCAAAAGCCTGCCACTTTCCTCATCAGCGCTGCAGATATTATGAGAGTTCTAACGGCCATATAAGCAAACCAAAATCAGAAACATAGGTAAAAAGATCGAAGACACTTACTGCAACACAGGAATTGATACTACTGTTGAGCAGTCCGCATCGCAGCGGTAGCGTTCACTATCCGCTCTATGAACGCGCTTTGGCCATGCTATTCGAGATATTTATATCATCATTTGGAGAGACTGGAATATTATATTTGTACTTGTAAGTGGTAGGAATCGGAAGTTGGACTGCATCGCAGTTTAAATTCTAAACATCACACCTTGTTGACACCAACACGGTCTTCGCCGCCGGCGCGCCTGACGCCGACATTCAGCCTGAGAGCAGTTCTGTAGCCATTCCCATGATGGCACTGTATATTGTATATCCTCCACCTTGGCGAAAATAACACTTTCGTTCTAGCCCGACATGCGACTGCGAAGAGCATTCACAATGTTCTTGAAATTCACGCTTCCGCTGGCGTTCATCATAGGTTACACAGTATACTATCTCTATGAGCCGCATGGGAGCATCGGCCTCGTATTCCATCAACGAGCATGGATACAGCGCGAATTACTTCCATTGTCCCCACTTGCAGGATGTTTCGAGCCCGAGCGCATCAGCACACTGTACAACATCAGTGACGCCGTGTATGGCGGGAAACGGTTTGAGGTTCAGGCAGGTGTACCATTGCGGATGGGTATGGACTGCTACGAGTTAGCAGGAATAGTAAGATTTGCAGAAGGGGAACGAAAGGCAGAGGAACGGTATATCCCACCAGAGGAGCGAGCACAGTTCCACGCATATTGGCGTGTCGATCTTGCACCCCTCGGTGAGAGACAAGAATACATGCTGAAGTCATTCTTCGCTACGCAAGACCTTCCTCGCTCTCGTCTAATCCTTTGGTCAAATGGCGACCTATCACTCAATCCAATCGTGCAAAAGTATCTCGAACTGTTTCCTAGCTCATTCACACTTCAGATAGTGGATATACCTGAATTAGCCAAGGGCACGGCAATGGAGAACCACCACTTACTCAATCTCGAGGACAAGAAAGCATGGGTGGACGGTGACCTCGTCCGCTTACTTGTCATCTGGGCGTACGGCGGCGCTTGGATAGACGTGGACATGCTCCTAACCCGAGACCTCTCTCCATTGCTTGAGCACGAATTTGTAACGCAATGGGACTGCTACGGTAATCTAATAATCAACCCTTTTTCGTCCACTAATCCACAAGTTTCCTCAGACAAGATTTACCAACCGTTCAACGGTGCACTTATGCACTTCCGCAAGCACTCGCCTTACCTCTGTGAAGCCTTCCATCTCATGGCACACAGCACTCCCCCGCGTTCTCCGAGTACTGATTGGGGCTCAGTCCTTTACCATAGGTTATGGCGGCGCCTCCTCAACGAATCCATACCCCCCTTCAAAATTTTACCGTTCTGCTTCTCCGACCCTCTGGTATGTCGACTCGATAACAGAGCGCCAGATCCGTTTGAGCCTGATCGCATAGACGGGAAGTGGACTGGCAGACCTGGGGAGGGGCTTGAGGAGGGTGGAGCGCTAGATAGGGCGCTAGGAAAGATATTTGCCGTGCATTTGCATAATAGATGGGATCAAGCCTTTCCCAAGGGCGGCTGGGTGAACCGACTGTTGTTGAGGAGGCACGAGGAGGAGATGGAGAGGAAGGTGCGAACAAATGGTAATTTCTGATATTGTGACCTGCTAGCTTAGAGATTGGCTGTAAGTCCTGACAGGTAAACTTTCGAGTTTCAGAATGGCACTCCGCCGGACAACAAAGCGATAGTAGAGTGAGTGGTTTGTGTTCTGTTCGAGCGACCAGAACAAGGGTGGCTATAAGATTATCATCTGCACTTGGATGAACATGAAGGTTGCTGGTAAGACTTTCGAAAATGGAAATGATGGAACAAGGAGTTGACTCATGAACACATCTGTGTATGAAAAGTCGTCCACGAGAGAAGGACATCGTTACGGTGCGTTGCGGGAGTTTTGACTGATTGTCAATGGAAGATACTTCCATATTCCCGGAGGCAACAAGAATGAAGAACATGTCCTCTTGTGATGGAGCGTAGTCGCTGAAACCGTATCGAAAGAAAGACTGAACTGTCATATCCCTTAATTTTTAGCCGACAAAAGTGATTGAACTAGTAACCCATCTTGAATTGCTAGTCCTACATTTGTATACTAAGTAAGGCGTTGTCCGCGTTTGCGATGACAGCCAGACGTAGCACACCGAGGAGCTTCTGCCCTTGTCATTGTTCCCGACTTTACCATCACAAACTGGGCACCAAAGTAACGAGTAGTACCGTTCTACGGGCAAGCGACGGCTCGGGACGTGATCATTCGATATGAGTTGTTCCATCCCTCCGACCGAAAGGGCAATGTAATTCACGATCATTGAACCTTCGCGCAATCCCTGGGATTTGATCAATATTTGGTGGCCAATATCATTCTTGTCGAGTCCTTCCAGGAATGGTTGTGAGGGTAGCGTGCATTTCAGTTAGAATTCAACGTGTTGCCGTGCAGCGTCATACAGTCTAAGTCGTTTGCGACGTGTAATAGCTAGTGAGTAGCACGTCCACTTCCGAGGATCCCATTGAGTTCATTTGGAAGTAAGCAGGGGTGGGCAGTGAGCACAGTGAGATGGATACATCTGTTCACTCACCTTTTGTACCCGCACTACTAGCAGGTCGTACGAGTCAAGAAATGACAGTGTATGATACAAAAGCTCTGGTGGAAGTTGCACTAGTGTTTTGGCCCGCATGATCTGGCACTAATACGAAACCCATAATATCATGAACAAGCAAATGAGCAAGTCGAGGTTTCAGTTGACTGAGACTAACAAAAGGCTCCGATCTGCACAATAATGAAAGCGCACGTGGAATTCCATTTTTGGTGTGTGAAGTAGCCTCATGCTCTGAGAGCAGAGGACTGAATTGACAAGAACAAGACCGATGTCTTCCAACGGCGCATCCATCACCCGGATTGACTCGAGATCCCCAGTCCACGCCAGACCATTTTCTCCCATTAATCACGTCGTAAATGTGGATGGTCGCTCATCTCTGGACAGCGAACGCAGCTCCACGTCTTCTCCCGTAGTTGGCATCAATGGACATTTCCGTGCCCTCGTGGACGAGGAGGGCTTGGACCCCGTCGAGAAGCTGAAGAGAGAACTCGAACGCGAGAGAGACGAGAAAGATAACCTTGCTGCACAGTATCGTAACCTCTTAGCCAAACTCACGACGATGCGTACAAGCCTAGGCAATAAGCTGCAACAGGATGCTGTACGTTTCTATTGGAGTATCTACTACTTTTTGCTACCCTAACAAACTATGCATTAGGAAGAACTCGATAGGAGGGAACAACTTGTTCAGCATCTTACGGCTCAGAATGAGGATCTGGTTTCCACAGTCGAGACTTTGAAAGCCGAGCTCATCGCATCTCATGAAGAAGCAGAACACAATTCAAAAGAGCTAGATACAATTCGGAGTCAGGTCCTGAACGAAAATGCGCAGGAAAGTCTTCTACGCGAACGTGAGCTTCGGGAGACTTTGAGTGAGCTTGAGCGATGCCGCATCGAACGTAGCGAATGGGAACGCGCCACAATGCAGGAGAAGATGTTGGGTGATGAAGCAAGATTAAACCTGGAGACGTTGAGGCGTGATCTGGAGATGGAACGCGAAGTCCGAGATCGAGAGTCAGTTGAGTTGGCCGCAGCACGGGAGACTGCGACTAACTTACAGTCAGTGCTAGAGGATTTTTCAGCATGTAAGCAATATCATGCATATTTTGTGCTCAAGTTCTCCATGCTGAAGCATTGACAGCCAAGGAACACGAACTTTCACAAGCTGTGAAGGACTACAGGTCTCAGCTTCATGATGTCAACATATCATTAACCGAATTCAAGCGACGAGCTCTAGACGCAGAGGTCCGCCTCGTGTTCTGATCGGTTATCTAACCAAGCTCAAATATCAGACAGGCCCAGCTTGACGAACTGAAAATCAATGCCTCGCGGACACAAGAGCTAGAACAGGACGTCAAGGAGAAGAATCTATTGATCGGCAAGCTGCGACACGAAGGTCTATTTTCATCATCACACATGTTGCCTAATATCAATCTTCTTTTCAGCCGTAATCATCAACGAACACCTTATGGAAGCCCTCCGTAGACTTCGGCGCAATTCATCGGACACGAATGTAGATCGGAGATTGGTCAACAATATTCTTCTATCATTTCTTTCCACTCCACGTGCCGATGCAAAACGCTTCGAAATGCTCACGCTCCTTGCATCTATTCTATCATGGACGGACGCCGAACGTGAAAAGGCAGGCCTCCAGCGTTCTTCGATAACCGCTTCACCTGGCCATTCATTCTGGGGACGTCCATCAAATATCGGGTCACCAAGTCAAAAGGCAGTTGATTTGGAAAGGACAGATGAGACCGAGGTAATACCACGAATTTTGTTGCTGCAACAGCAAGCTCACCGCTTTTCCGCTCTAGTCTTTTTCCCGCCTATGGGTAGAATATCTGCTCACAGAAGCAAATCAGGGCGAAACGCCCACAAGACAAACACGCTCGAACGCCTCAGTCCCAAACAGTCCTATGCACTCACCAAATATTCTCTCCTCGCCAACGGGGCTAAAGGGAACACGGCGCCTAGCATCATTCACTAGCGCAGCAAGCACGGCAAGCTTACCAAGCTTGGCGCTGCCGCCGTCCCGGAAGGGTAAGGAAAAGGAGGTCGTACCGTGACGTCTGCCGGTCGGACTTGCCGATGCGATGCCCGTCACTATCTGACTTTATTCCGTTTTTGCACGCTTGGACACTCAGTGTCATTTTTTGCTTCCCATGTTATTTAGGGCACGCGTTGCTACTGCCTTGTGGGAGATTATGCTTACCTCTGGTACAGTAGTATTAATAGCACCAACTCAAATGCGGCAAAGGAGGTCGATACGAAGGAGGTTTACGTGGTTGGAAAAAAGCATGAGACGTTCAAACATGCCGCTTATTGTTCCGCAAGATGATGAGTGAGCTTCTATAAAGCGACAACTCGGGATAGACCAGGGAGTTTAATATTGAAGATACTGACTACGAAATTACTGTAACTTATAAGAAGTGCACTTAGCCGTGGGTCTTTTATGAACAAAATTCTCCAAGGCAAGCTCAGTTTAATGCAAGAAGCATTTTGCGGGGGTCCTCGATGTAGTCGCGAACTTTGACTGTAAACGCCATCAGCACGCTAGGTGAGACCAGATGACAGGAAGAGTACGAACCCAAGAAGGTAACTGCCTCCCGACCATCGAGTAGTCTGTGGTCGTAGGTGAGGGCAACAACCATGATGGGTCGGATGACGATCTGGCCGTTAACTACGACAGGCCTGTCCTTGATCGCGTGCATGCCTAGCACAGCAGACTGTGGCAAGTTGATGATGGGCGTTCCATACAATGAGCCGAAGACACCGCCATTGGAACTGAATGCGCGGAATTAGTCTTGGTTTCGGTTGTTAATCAGAAAAGCTTACATGGTGAAGGTGCCTCCTGCCATGTCCTCGAGAGTTAACTTACCGTCCCTGGCCTTGGTGCCGAGAGCGGCAATCTCCTTCTCGATATCAACAAAGCCCATGCTCTCAGCATTCCTCACTACGGGAGTGACTAAGCCCTTCGGAGTCGCGACAGCAACACTGAGGTCGACGTAATCATGGTAGACAATCTCATCACCCTCAATGGACGCGTTTGCAGCAGGAATTTCCTTCAGTGCTAGCGCGCACGCACGAGCGAATGCGCTCATGAAGCCTAACTTGACGTCGTGTTCCTTGAGCACCTCATCTTTGTACTTCTTTCGCATCTCCATGAGAGACGACATGTCGATCTCATTGAAAGTTGTGAGCGAAGCGGCAGCGTTTTGAGACTCCTTCAAACGCTCAGCAATGCGCAGGCGCATACGGTTCATTTTGACCTAATGGATAGATGTACGTTAATATCCTTGCCGAAGGTGCAGCGATGAAATGTTTACCCTGGTCTCACCCCGGTTGCCTGGTGCCTTTGGCGCGGCGGGAGGTGCTTTTGACTTGACCTCCTTTGGTTTTGAGTCCTGCTTCACTTCCTTCTTGGACTCTTTAGGTCCCTCGGGAGGAATACCACCACTCTGTTTGTCGACACCTGAAGGTGCGGGAGGCTCCGACGTCGTCTTGTCCAATTGCTGGTCCTTAGGTTCTTCAGGGTCTACCTTCTTCTGTTCTTGAGCGGAGGGAGATGCTAGAAGAATGTGAATAAATGGTGTGTGATTAAAGACGTGGGACATACCACCACCTTCACCGGGTTCGATTATAAAGAGGTCCTGGCCGACGCTGACAGTATCCTCCTCCTTTGCGAGCAGCTCCACAATCTTCCCTGATTTAGGTGCGTTCACAGAAACATCGATCTACGGGAGAGGACGTTAGTATGTTGTTCGTGCGATGGAGGTGTAAATGAACTGCTACTCACTTTATCCGTCTCAATTGTCGCGACTTCCTCGTCAGCCTCGACGCTATCCCCAACCTGTTTTGACCAAGACCGAAGAGTACCTTCGGAGATGGACTCTGCCATCTGCGGCACTTTTACGGTCTCAGCTGTGAATGAGCAAGACGAACAGAGCACGTTTGAATGATCATGTTTCTTTGTTTAGATACGTCATAGAACTGACCTTGGAGAAGATGTGATGAATGGAACTGTGCGCGTCTCATTTGCGAGTCGGCGACCTTCCTAGACAGACAAGAAGGTGATCGTCCATTAGCTATGCTTCCAGCAGTGAAAAAAACACGCAGAAAACGCGCACCATCCTTTCGACAGCGATACAGCAGTGTCGCGGCATCGGGCATTTCTGCTTGCGAGAAAAGCACTACTGCGTGCTGCAGCGATAACCCGTTTCGACAGCATGTTCTATGGGTCAGATTAATGTGGTGGAAGATGTCCAGGAAATAAGAGTAATATGTTCCATGGCCCGGGAACCTGGAGTCTCATCGGCCATGGGTACGGAACAAATTGATGTAATATACATAGCCACAACAAACACTCCAGGGCGCCGATTCCTCTGCTTTTCTACTCTCAACTCACACATCCGATTTTTTTTTCAAGAGTTATCCGAGGTGTCCCCTTGTTTCGCACCGATAATGAGAAACAGTTCACTTTGACGCCCCCAGGCTGTCTTGCTTGACATGACTTTCGTGGTGCCTGAAAGAGGTGTTACATTGCAATGTTGATCATCAACTTGTGATCGACAACCTGGCAACAGCCCCAGGAAACATCAAACCAACGGAGCCACGATATCATTAGCTGCGGTGCTTGCGGGAGGATCATATGGAAAGCGGGAGTGATCAGCTTCGTATCAGCTTCGCTAAGCGTGTTTGTTTGGCTTTTACCTGTCAGACCCCCAACCACTGCTTGAGAGAGACTTAATATTAATGTTTCTAGTGATATATTCAAGATGTATTGCTTGTCAAATTGTGAGTCCTCCAATGGTTACCGATAGTAACTCAGGTGCTGATCGTACCTTAATGCAATGACAGCGCAATCTGTGACGGAATTCAAAACAACTCGAACGTTCAAGTTGACGAGTGCAGGATCGTGCTCCCAACATTATGACTGATCGTTCTCGGCGCACCAACCAGCATAAGCCATGTCGTGAGTGTTAAGCCTGAATCACTGCCAGTTTCACTTATTTTTGAGCGAGCATAGCTCCTGCCAGGGAAATACAAGATCCGGCTCAGTTTTATTTCAAGCTCAACATGAGTGATGTTGACATCGTGCACCACCTCAAAGACCATTATGACCAGGAGGAATATGGACTCAGGTTCGTGTCTTACATATGTCCAGTGCAACTACTTCAACTAATTTATCATGCTAGCGTTGTCAGCTTTCGTCGGATGCGAAATAGCTGGGGCTGGAAACGGACCAGGCAACAACAACATACTCTCGAGTCCATCGAACAGCATGTCCGGGAGATTCGACAACGATTTCCCCACCGAGGTGCCGAGGCCATCAGACGAGACCTGCGCCAGCAGTTCAGCTTTCACGTACCCCGGTGAGTTGCTGTCTACTTGCTAGTACTGTTCACTATAAATCGATGTTTGAACAGCGAACTGATCGCCAAGCTTCTCAAGATCACAGAGCCAACTGCTGTGGAAGCTAGGCGTCGTGGACGTCTCAAACGGAGGCGTTTTTGGTGTGCGGGGGTTAATGATGTCTGGCCCCAAGACCAGCACGACAAATGGCTGCGCTTTGGGTTATGGCTGCATATCAGCCTCGATCCATTCACCGGCTGGATTAATTGGCTGAAAGTTTGGTGGACCAACAAGAATCCACGCCTTATTGCTAGATACTACCTTGACTGTTGCCGAAAACTCGGAGGTATGTCACCAAGCCCCTCACATTGATCGGACATTGATCATGTCATTTTTTTTTTGTGATCTCAGCTGTACCTTTGATCACTCAGAGCGATCCAGGCTCCGAAAATTTTGCTGTTGCCAACGCACAAACAATGATTCGACACCGCCTAGATCCAGCACTCAACGGAACACTTCAGCACCGCTGGATGCGAAAGCACCAGAACATCAAGCCCGAAATCATGTGGTCTGTGCTTCGCAGGGACTTTGCTCCAGGTTTCGAGAATATCCTGGAGGAAGGTGTCACTAGGGGACTATATGACATTCACAACACGCTGCAAAAGTATGCATCACTTCCTTGCATATGTATTCACTGACAATCTCCATCTACTATCTACTAGCTACGTGTTCCGCTGGCTTGCAATTCCATGGCTCCAGGCTGAGCTTGATGCATGGGCTCATCGTAGAAACCATAACGCTCCCCGCAGGGACAAAAATAAGATTCTTCCTCACGGCATTCCAGCAATCATTCGTGCGAAACCTCACGAATTCAATTCACTTGACTTCAAAGTAAGTATGTCGTCCATGACTGCAGCTCAACACTACTTACTCTTCTCAAGGTTCCAGTGCCAAGTGCGCTCTTTGATGAGGTCGAAGCAATTTATGCTCCCTCTGATCATCCTGTCTTCGATCTTGTCCCACCTTCATTCGAGCAACGCGCACAATATCTCTATACCTCACTCGGCAACCCGCAAGTGTCGTCGGATTCATTCTGGAATGTATATCAGATGTTACTGGCGCAGTTCCTCGCAATTGAAGGTGAAGATGACCTGACAGTCCTGCTTTCGCAGGGAGTTACGGAACCTGAAGATGATGATGTTCTATTGCTTCCGAGCTTGCAGGACCTCCCTCGAAATGCTGGCTTAGTAGGACCTGCTGGCTATCAGTATATGGGAGGCATGGTGAACCCGCCAACACAAGCACTTCACGGTGTTCAGGACTGGGGATCACAAGGGGAGGATCAGGATGATGAAGATCAACCAGAGTTCGCAGAGTTCACGGATTCTGAGTCTGAGTCTGACAGCGGAAGAGACTGTAGCAGAAATGCCTAGATATACTTTTGGTAATACATTAAGGTTGTCGGCATCTCTCCACTGTAGTGCTGCTGCTGTTGAAGTGAGTCCAACTCGAGCTAAATTCGGTTCCTCAAAAATGACCAACAGCAACACTCCTCCACTGGAATGGAGCCCGCTCCCACGGAAGCTTTAAACTCCGCTGGGAGTGGTGTCACGGTCCTAGACTGGCGAAAAGACTTAGTACCATCTATGTACATGTATGAACGTATGACTTGTTCAGCTCCGAACTGGAGGCGATACATACAGTGCGGCTTGGA